TCAGGGCTTTTTTTCTCATGCTAGAGCTCTTTAGCAGAGTACTGCGCATGGTCTGCCCTGGCAGAGCATTGAACCAACATGCTCACTTTGGTGAAGACGAAACAAACCCTCTCTGCCCCTCCTCCTTCTTAGTGGGCTGCTGTGATAAAAAAATGCCCGGGTCAAATTTTTCTCCCAGTCCGGCCCTGTAACAGATCCATAACATATAACTTGAACACACGGATTACCAAAGAGGCCCACCAACTGTTTAACTTGTAGGTGTGTACCGAGACACCCCTACACCCCCAGGTTCGGAGCCACCGACGGGCTCGAGCCTACCAACCAATTGAACCAGTCCTGCCTAATCCAACCTAGACCTTTTCCACGACCACCTCCTACTTCCCAATTTTTCTAGCCCTTCCCCGCCGCAGTGACCAAACGGGGAACACCAATAACCACAGGGAGGGTGGGTGGGACAAGTAAAAGGTTAGTGCAAGTTGAAAATTAAAATGGCCACTCTTCAAGATGGCCGTGCTTTAACCCCCTAGGCTCCGCCTCCATAACCACCTGACAAAGTCCTGCCCCCAATTATTACAATCCATACATGCCTACTCTCTGACCCTACTGTGTTTTCTCCATGGGCTACAAATACAGAGGGAAGCCCTTGCTACTAAAAAACAGTCCTTGCTTGTAAAATAATGTATGATGTAATTATTTTGTTGTGGCTAAGGTTCAATGGGTTAAGAAGGGAGTTTTGTGGTTCCGTCCATCAGTACATTTTCAAACGGTTTAAAAACCGATTTGACATTTCCCTGCCTCTGTTGGCTGGCCACATTGCTTTCTTTGAAGTTGTTATGGTACCTACACATTATCATAGCAGTTCATAACAAGCTGAAACATCCATTGGCTGAGAACCAGAAATGGTTTAACAGTTTATCATTGCACCGTGTAACGTGTCTCCAGACACCATAATTATCACACTGCGAGGTACTATAGTAGTTATGGTGTTTGAGTTTCCCCTTAAGGGAATTGAGAGAAAAGGGGGGGGGGGAGGATGAAAGAGAAAAAAAGGAGAGGGGGAGAGTGAATATTTCTGTCTGAGTTCTTGGTTTGCCTATGTCAGGGGTTGGCACTCCAGATGTTTTGGACTACACTTCCCATGATCCTTTGCCAGCATTATGGGAGATGTGGTCCACAACATCTGAAGTGCCAGCTGTCCTATGGCAATGGATGATGCCCACGTGTTGGGTGCAGTGATGCCCGAGCTATGACAGGCGGCCCCGCCTCCTCACAATGCAGGCTGACCGTGTGATAAGACCGCTGAGAAGTTACCATGGCAACCGTCCTTCCCCGCTAGCTCCGCCCACTCTGCTTACTTCTCTCCGCATGTAATGAACGTTGCACAGGCTTGTGGGCGTGGTCAGGATAAGGTACGCAGGCAAAAGGCTGTGAGATTGGTTACTTGAAACAGTCTGCCTAGGCTCACTCCATGCGGCCAGCCAATGATAATAGCACCTCTCCCGTGACGTACTGACTCGCAGCCTCCTCGGCCAATCAGAGACGCGAAAGCAGATCACTCGGTGTTTGCGTGACGGCCGAGCCTGCTCTGTCCCAGTGCTGAAGAGGAAAAAGGTGAAGCTATAAAGACAGGTTTATATTGTATTAACCGGGAGAGGAGCTCGGAGCACAGCACGGGACAGACAGGTGAGAGAGCCAGGGGAACACCCTGTGACAGAGAGAGTATAAATATTATATATTACATATCATTATATCTATATCACATTATTATATGGAGAGTGTGGATATTATATATTATATATCATTATATCTATATCACATTATTATATGGAGAGTGTGAATATTATATATTACATATCATTATATCTATATCACATTATTATATGGAGAGTGTGAATATTATATATTATATATCATTATATCTATATCACATTATTATATGGAGAGTGTGAATATTATATATTATATCATTATATCTATATCACATTATTATATGGAGAGTGTGGATATTATATATTATATATCATTATATCTATATCACATTATTATATGGAGAGTGTGAATATTATATATTATATATCATTATATCTATATCACATTATTATATGGAGAGTGTGAATATTATATATTATATATCATTATATCTATATCACATTATTATATGGAGAGTGTGAATATTATATATTATATATCATTATATCTATATCACATTATATGGAGAGTGTGGATATTATATATTATATATCATTATAGCTATATCACATTACTATATGGAGAGTGTGGATATTATATATTATATATCATTATATCTATATCACATTACTATATGGAGAGTGTGAATATTAAATATTATATATCATTATATCTATATCACTATTATATGGAGAGTGTGAATATTATATATTATATATCATTATATCTATATCACATTATTATATGGAGAGTGTGGATATTATATATTATATCATTATATCTATATCACATTATTATATGGAGAGTGTGGGTATTATATATTATATATCATTATATCTATATCACATTATTATATGGAGAGTGTGGATATTATATATTATATATCATTATATCTATATCACATTATTATATGGAGAGTGTGAATATTATATATTATATATCATTATATCTATATCACATTATTATATGGAGAGTGTGAATATTATATATTATATATCATTATATCTATATCACATTATTATATGGAGAGTGTGAATATTATATGTATATTACATTATTATATAGCGTGTAAATATTATATAAAAGTGTAAATATATAAATATTATGTATATATATCATTATATCTATACTAAAGTCATTATATATAATTATAATATAATTAAGGAGTATGATAGTCTGTATACACTTTGTGAATATGATTGATATATATATATATTTATTTTATTTTTTTCCTATCTATATTACAGTCATTGTATGGAGTCCAAGGACTCCAAAGTATTCTGTATACATTTTGTGAATAATAGTTATATGGCATTGTATCTTTATTACAGTCATGTATTGGATGTAAGTGTTCCTTACTGTATATATATTGTATGTGTTACAGTTATTATATGGGGTGTAAGAGTTTCTTAGTGTTCTGTTTTTGTATATACTGTATCTATATTACAGTTGTTATGCAAGGTATAGGAGCTCCTTAGTGTCCTGGTCATTGTACTTTGTATTTATATTATTACTATACAGCAAGTTGTGGAGACATGAAAAACAATTTGTAAAAATTAAGAGATTGAAAAATAACAAATTTTGAGTTACTACAAGAGGCTGCTTAAGTGATTTTATCTAGCTTTAATGATTTAGGCTAAATTTTTGCTAGGTCCCCTTTTGAATTACATGCATAACTATATGGGAATATAAAGACGCTTTTTGAAGATTTTCTTTGCCTACCTTCTGACTTGTAGAAAATTGGAATCTCTAGGAATCTTTTGTGGTCCTTATAGTGTTACTTAGAGTGTTACTCTAATACCCTAATGGTTCTTAACGATAACATTGTCTTGATTATTATGTTACTTCTATTCTTGAAATACTACAGCATGTTCTGATGACTTTTGCTGTCATATAAATTAACTAAGAAAAAAAGCGCGCTCTCTCTCTCTCTCTATCTATCTATCTATCTATCTATCTATCTATATATATATATATATATATATATATATATATAAACACAAGAACGTATATATAAAAACCCAAAGGTGATATATACAGATAGAGGGTGGTTAGGAACAATACAACCTGAATATGGCTGAAAATGAACGTGGAATCCATAAAATAGCAAAATACAAAATATAGTGAAGTAAGTTAGGCAAAAATGGATTTGCACGTGGTAGAGAACTTACAAGAAGGGAGTAGTAATCACGCCTGTCACCCTGTCAGGGGTACTTTCCACATTGAAGAGCGAATATATATGGCGAGGACTGACAATATCACTTTTTCTTCAGCTCAGGAATAAAATATCCCTTTTTCCTTCAGCTCAGGAACAAAAGAAAAAATATAGATAGTGCAGATTGTATAAAAATAACAAGATTTATTCCAAAATATTGCACTTACAAGAAATCAGAAGTTAGACAGCATATCTCCATAATGAAGTAATGGCCAGGTCTCCAGATGAAAGTAGAGAGAGATCCCAAAATGGAGGTACACAAAATTAAAAAATAAAATAAAATAAATAACAAATGGACTATAATAACAGCTGTATATTAGCATAAAAAGTCCAAAAGTAGATAAGTTCTCTACCACGTGCAAATCCATTTTTGCCTAACTTACTTCACTATATTTTGTATTTTGCTATTTTATGGATTCCACGTTCATTTTCAGCCATATTCAGGTTGTATTGTTCCTAACCACCCTCTATCTGTATATATCACCTTTGGGTTTTTATATATACGTCCTTGTGTTTATTCTTTATAGTGTGTGTGTGAGGTACACTTCTTTGAGGGTGTGTTCTTTTAGTGTATCATATAGTAAGCATATCCTTTTTTGTGTATATATATATATATATATATATATATATATATATATATACACACACACACAATATCTCACAAATGTGAGTACACCCCTCACATTTTTGTAAATATTTTATTATATCTGAAGAATTGACACTATGCTACAATGTAAAGTAGTAAGTGTATAGCCTGTATAACAGTGTAAATTTGCTGTCCCCTCAAAATAACTCAACACATCGCCATTAATGTCTAAACCGTTGGCAACAAAAGTGAGTACACCCCTAAGTGGAAATGTCCAAATTGTCAATATGTTTTGTGGCCACCATTATTTTTCAGCATTGCCTTAACCCTCATGGGCTTGGAGTTCAACAGAGCTATCATTATTTTAGTGTAATAATAGTGCTCATAAGGCTAATTGAAAAGGTTGGATTTTATTGTAGATTTGTTAATCACATTCCCTAACTATGGACAAAACATATTGAAAATATCTTTCCTGTTTATGCATAGGATATCCTGAAATCTGAGGACAAAATGGCAGCCAATGACAGCATTCTCAATTCAGCTTACCTGGCTGTTGAATACATAGACACTTTTCTACCTGAAAACCCTCTTCAACGGCCTTTCAGATATGCTTGGACTTACATGCTGGACAACTACACCAAGTTTCAGATAGCTACATGGGGATCACTCATCGTTCATGAGCTCATATATTTCGTGCTCTGCCTTCCTGGTTTTATTTTTCAGTTTATACCTTTCATGCAAAGGTTCAAAATACAACAGGTTTGTCACACTCTTCACATTTTATACATAAGTTTCACAGTATCTAAATATGACACAGTATTTCTTACATTCTTCCTCTTCTTAATATCACATTGAATAACTTGCCTGGAAATATAATCTATTATAATCTCTCTTTCCATATCGATGGGTAATGGCTCACAAAGTGAACACATTGAAACAATAGTATGTGTTTGTGGTTGTTTATCAGTACCTGTAACTATTGAATTTTAATAAGGATATATCCCATTATATCTCATTACTGAAACAAAGGCTACCTTCAATCACTTTAGGTTGGCATTGTAGGAATCTTCTTATTTTATAGATACATTTTGCACGCATGTTGGAAAATCCTTCTGATGTCAGTCTTCTCGCAGGATCTTCCATAAACCATGCATATGTTGCAGTAATGCGAGGCCAGGAAACACATACGAGACTGGACACATGTTTTCTTAGGAAGCAATCAATCATTTATTTTGTAACCGGCTACTGTTTCAGCCAGACTCATGTCTGCAAAGGGCTGAACCCTGAATCACAAGTCAACATAGATGATGCAGTTCATACGTAAGCGAGATATGCAAGGGTTACTCCATTACTGCGGCAATTAATAACCAATTAGCAAGCGTTTGACTATTACTTTATTAATTTCCTACTTTACTGTGTATGAACATTCTTATCATTCCTGTACATGGGTCTTGGCCCTGATCATGTATAGCTCTTGCCCCATATATGGTCATATGGCTCTGAAGCATTTCCGAGATCATCTACCACATTCCCCCCTTTGATGCTTCAGAACCTGGATACAGGTGACTGACAAGCATCATAACACAATGAGTCCTGTAGGGCTCATAACAGGCTAGAACAGATTGGGCTATATAGTGTCTTTCCATTGACCCATCATTAGTGCCCTTTATTCCCTTAGGAACTGTTCATATACAGGGGATCCTAGTTTGTCACCCTCCCTGAGGGGGATTAGGAAAAAGAAAGGTTTCAGAGTTCCCAGTACACAGACTCCAGACCAATCCCTGGGGAGTTCAGAGTAGTCCTTAAGGCCACAGATCCAATACATATTATTGGGAGCTTTCCAGGTGGACCTTGCAGACTGATTGGTCCATACATCCTTCAGATGGGAGTAGTTCCTGAAGGGGCTGGGGATTGGTTCAGGGACATTGGCTGCGGACCACCAGGAGGTGGTCCCATCAAAGGACTTGTATGCTTGTTGCTCTAAACACGTGAGAGTACCTACAAAAGTCTTAAATTCTGGACCAAATCTGCCTATGCACACATTCCCAATTATGGAGGTTTTTAGCAACCATTCAGATTTGGGACAGGGTAATAAACCTCCCTCCTCACCACGCTGTATTACCTGCAGGTCTAAAAGGATTGAAAAACCTGGTGGGTTACTATTTACGACTTCAGTTTTAATATTCAAATGGGGTATGGTTTTTAGGTCTGTACCAGAAGCATAAATTTGCAGTCCATGGAAGCTGCCCCACTTGTGCAGGAATACCAGGGGATTAAACAGTATCAGGTTCAAGAAGCTGCAGGTGCCAGAAACACAGTTAGTTGCAGTTGGCATTTTCTGCAGGCTCGCAGTCAGAGTACCTGATTTATATGTAGCCCACCCCACGCCACATTGGTGCAGTTATACCTAGGCCATGTGTTTGAATTAATAACTGCGCATGCATCAAAATAGATTGAGGCGAGCTTTTCTCCATTTAGTAGCAATGTTCTGTTTATAATGCGGCCTCCTGAGTGGAAGCTACGGGCTACTAACCAGACCCTGCAGGGAGCAAACGTAAGATCAAAACAGATTGGGCCTTATGGCAAGTTACAGACAGAGTAGGTAGTACCTTGGTATATGCAGGTGGAAATATCTCTAGTAGTACAATCAAAAATGGGAATGCCAAATTAAGGTTTTGTTAACATGATGCCCAGTTCTGGTGGTGTAAATAGACTGTGTGCAAGGGGTAGAAAGGCAAGGGTGACAGAAGATTGTCAACATTAACATAAGAGGAGGAGATGATCCTGAAGAAGCTTCGACCGTGCATCGGCACCTCAGCTTCCGGATGTGAGGGCTGCAGGGTAGGGAGTACTTCTGATTCTGTTCGGCTTCACAAGGTCTCCTTTGGGGGCCTCAGCTTTCCATCAATGGCAGGTGGTCAGGCATTATTATATATAAATAATAAAATAATAATAATAATAATAATAATTATGGCCATCAAAACACCTACTTGTAATTTTCTCCAGCAGATATTGTCGCTCTCTTGAAGCGGAGTTTCAAAGGTTTTTCAGGATCAGCAGCAGTTACTTCCCATGGAACAGAGGCAGGCTTAATTCTGGAGTGGTGGATCCACAGAGTGATTTCAGCAACTTTTACTGTGTATTACTTGTTGGCGTGTGATCTCGCTTCCTATTTGGTGGAGGTCCCCTTTAAGACCTAGGACAATCGGTCGTGGTCAACTGTACATGATTTTGACAGTGGAAAGGTTAGTGAGCTTTGTGGGGCCACTCCTGATTCAGAACTGGGCAATGGGGAGCAATGCATCCCAATTCAGGTTGGTTTCTTGGCACATATTAGCCAGGTGTAGCTTCCATGTTTGGGTCATTCGCTCAACTTTTCCTGACCTTTGAGGTCGTGTGCAGTTTCCACTTAAGACTGGGGCTAGTGGCTACCTCTTGCAGGCACTTATTCACAAAGGCTGGGCCATTATCAGATCCCACTGATGTGGGTATCCCGTTCCTTGGGATGATTTTAGAGAGCAAGAATTGGACCACTTCTTTCTGTCCTGGTAGGCTGTGCTTCCACCCAGCCAGAGTAGGAACACACAATATCAAGAACGTAGTGAAATGCACCGGATTTCGTCATGACCGTAAAATCAACTTGTAGATCAGACATAGGTAGTGTTCCAACAGTTTGAATTCCCGGTGGCTGACCTGGTCCTTGTTGGGAATTATTTTTGGCACATTCCATGTACCAAATGGCTACTGCCTGTGTTACAGTAGACAGCCCTGGTAGGTAGAAGAAACGGTTAATTGTGGCCTCCATGGATGATTTCCCTGCGTGGGTGGACTTATGGAGAGCCCTGACAATATTCACAGCTAATGATGTGGGGACAACAATTCTTCCAATTGGTATCACTTGTTGTCCAGGTACTGGCCTGGCTCTGTTTCTAGCCATTTTTGTTCGGCAGGGATTTAAAGAGGGGACCAGTCAATAATGGGTACCGGGAACAACAGGGCAACAGTTGACTGAGGTACAGAGTCTTTCATTGCTACATGTTTTGCAGAATCATCAGCCAGCCTGTTTCCAATAGTCACATGGGTGTCGGCCTTCTGGTGGACTCGACAGTGGATAATGCTAACTTGGGCCAGACCACTTCAAGTAGTGCCAAAATTTCGGATGAATGCTTGATGTCCTTTCCTCCAGAGCTGAGTATGCCACGTTCCTTGTACAGGACCCCATGGGCATGAGTTGTAAAGAATGTATACTTTGAGTCAGTGTAGATGTTGACACGTAGGCCCGCGGCCAGTTGCAGGGCCCTGGTCAGGGCTATTAGTTCAGCCTTTTGTGCAGGGGTACCCTTTGAAAGGGGTCTTCAATGACAGAACTGACGGTAGTGACTGCATATCCTGCATATTTGATCCCTTCTTTAACAAAACTGCTGCTGTCAGTGAAGTATTCGGCATCTGTTTTTTTCTGGGGGTAGTCTCGGCGGTCAGTTCTACTGGAGAAGATTTCATCCATGATTTCCATACAGTCATGTTGGGTCTGGTCAGGTTCTGGGAGTAAAGTGGCTGGGTTCAGTGAGTTGACAGTTTCAAGGTAGATCCTTGGGTTCTCACATAGCGTGGCTTGGTACTTTGTCATTCTACTATTACTAAACCAGTGGTTGCCCTTGTAGTCAAGGCGGGTTTGGCCGTCATGTGGAACAAGGACATAGAGTTCTTGTTCTAGGGTCAATTTATCAGCTTCTGGAATGAGGAGAGCGGCCGCAGCCACTGCTCTCACACAAGGGGGTAGGCCTTGGGCCACTGGATGCATTTGTTTCGACAGATAGGCAACAGGATGCTGCCATGAGCCCACGTTCTGTGTGAGGACGCCTACTGCAGACTTCCTTTTCTCCTGGAAATACAGGTAAAACACTCTCTGGTGGTCTGAGAGTCCCAGTGCAGGGGATTGGACTAAGGCCTCCTTCAGAGCCCTGAAGGCCTGTTGTTGTTCTTGGTCCCTGAGGAATGGGTCATGTTCAGGGCCTTTGCATTGATAGTGAAATTGACTGGTGGGTGTGGGGATGCGGCACACAGCTTCTTTGCGTTCTGGGCCTAGATTATGGCTTCCCTCAGAGATATGGGAACCTAAGTACTTGACTGCTGTGCAGCATATTTGGGCTTTTCTTCTGGACACCTTGTATCCTGCTTCCCACAAAATCCGCAGCAGTTGTTTGGTAGCTTGTAGACACTTGTCTCTGGAGGTAGCATCCACATATTGCAGGAGGACACAGTGGCCTGTCTTAGACGTGAAATCCTTCAGATCTTAACTGAGTGCTTCTCAAAACAGGGTGGGGGTGTTTTTGAAACCCTGAGGGAGCCTGGTCCAAGTAGGTTGTCTCTTAATTCCGGAAGGCAAATATACGTGGACTCTCTTCTGCCACTCTCATGCAGAAGAAAGCATCCTTGAGATCAAGAACTGTGTAGTTGAACGCACCGCCAGGGATTAAGGCAAGCAGATTGTATGGATTAGGGACAACAGGGTGAATAGTGACAATAGCATTGTTGACTGCTCTGAGGTCTTGAACAGGCCAGTACTCGATAGTACCTGGTTTGTCTACGGGTAATAGAGGGGTATTCAAGGGTGATTGGCAGAATTTCTGGATGGATGAATGGATGAATTTTTCTAGGAATCTCTGAATTCCCCTTACTGGTACTGTCTCTGGCTGGCTGGGAACACACCTGGTTTCAATTCAGTTTGGACAGGAGGCCTGTTCAGGGCAAGACCAGGGGGGTTATGTTTAGCCCATATACTTGGGGTGTCTATGATTCCTGGAGGTAGCGAGGGTTCGTCCATGATGACCTTAACAACAAATAACATCCATTCTTCCTCTTTTGGGACAGATACAGACATGATTCTGAGGTGAGGTCAAGAGCTGTGGTACCATTGGGAAGAAATATGATCTGAGTTTGGAGAGGACATCTCTCCCCAGAAGTTGAATGGGATAGTCTGGCATGTATAGGAACAGGTGTTGGATGATGTGGCCTCCCAAATTGCATGTTCTCTCTTGCAGTAATGGTCTGGTGGCAGGCTTACCGGTGGCCCCTACTATAGTGACAGTCTGTCCAGATGCAGGGCAATGGGTTTAGACACAACAGATGCTGGGCCCCAGTGTCAACCATGAAGAGGCTTTTCTTTTTACCCAATGGATGAAGTACAGGTGGTGTGGTTATAACAGATGGGGTATACCCATGGGATTTAGGAGGTGAATCTGGGGCAGGCAGGTACTCCAGGGGCGGAGGAGCCAGGGGCAGGCCGGCCAGGTCGGGGTATATATGGGGGACAGCAATGCCCAATGGAGCAGGGGGACGAGGTAGGCCAGCGGGCAACGCAGGTCTGTGATAAAGGGGGTGTCCATGTCTGGTTCAACTGGGTCATCAAATATGGGCATTGGGACAGAGGTAGGCCTAGGGGTAGAAGTGAGTCTGGCAAGCATGAGATGACTCGCCTCTTCAGAGCACGGTTTTAACCAGTCTGGGTGTTTCTCGACTACCTGTGAACCAGTTACTATCATATGGACCTTTGTAATTAAATCTAGGTCCAGACTACCTTTTGGGGGGGCAAACCGGGGCATTTGACGGGCCACTCCCATTCACACAGAACAATTATAGTTGTAATGGGTACAGTTTGACACCATAGTCTGCTCTATAACAATTTTTAAAGATACTGATCATATCGTCCAGAGGCCTGGGTGATTTAGATCCCCCCCCTCCTCCCATAATGAAGGACAGAGATACCAACAGATAGACGATACAAGCAGCTTCTTCTTATCAGTGACTTGGCGCGGTCGCCTCGGCCAAGAAATGCACCTAAACAGTGTCCTCACGCACTTTGTCACTAATAGACGTCTCAAACAGAAACAAACAAGCACTCCAACACAACACCAACCCACCAATACCAGAATGTACAGACAGAGGAGAGTGATTAGTTCTTCCTTCTCTCCAGAGGGAGAGGTCAGACTATGAAAAGACCCTGTAGTCTTACCTATAATACGTCGATGGGGGCGTCCCAGAACGGGGACCAGGAGTCAAGTAATTCTCCTATACAAACAAGTCTAGTGACGCCATAAAAACAACAAGAATTCAGGGAGCCCGTTCCGACACGAAGCCCATGAGTCAAGGGTGTGAAATAAATCACAGTCTCAGACTGTTATTATATTTCCCTGCCAATGTACCAGAAATGTTGCAGTAATGCGAGGCCAGGATACACTAGAGACTGGACACAGGTTTTCTCAGGAAGCAATCAACCATTTATTTTGTAACAGCTACTGTTTCAGCCAGACTCATGTCTGCAAAGGGCTGAACCCTGAATCACAAGTTAAAGGACCACTACAGTGCCAGGAAAACATACTCGTTTTCCTGGCACCATAGTGCCCTGAGGGTGCCCCCACCCTCAGGGTCCCCCTCCTGCCGGGCTGGATGGTGAGGAAAGGGGTTAAACTTACCTTTATTCCAGCGCCGGGCGGGAGCTCTCCTCCTTCTCTCCGCCTCTGATCCTTCTCCTGGGCTGAATGCGCATGCGCGGCAAGAGCTGCGTGCGCATTCAGCCGGTCTCATAGGAAAGCATTCATAATGCTTTCCTATGGACGTTTGCGTGTTCTCACTGTGATTTTCACAGTGAGAAGCACGCAAGCGCCTCTAGCGGCTGTCAATGAGACAGCCACTAGAGGATTTGGAGGCTGGATTAACCCATTTATAAACATAGCAGTTTCTCTGAAACTGCTATGTTTATTTAAAAAATGGGTTAACCCTAGATGGACCTGGCACCCAGACCACTTCATTAAGCTGAAGTGGTCTGGGTGCCTAGAGTGGTCCTTTAACAACACATATATCATAGATGATGCAGTTCATACGTAAGCGAGATATGCAAGGGTTACTCCCATACTGCGGCAATTAATAACCAATTAGCAAGCGTTTAACTATTACTTTATTCATTTCCTACTTTACTGCGTATGAACATTCTTAGCATTCCCATACATGGGTCCTGGCCCTGATCATGTATAGCTCTTGCCCCATATATGGTCATATGGCTCTAAGGCATTTCTGAGATTGTCTACCACACATATACTTTACTACAGTAAAGCTACTAGGTGTAGTAGAGAGATGGTAATATTTTCTCGATGAACCTGTGAGGTGAAACGCGCGTCAGGGGAAACATCACTGGCGCTATCCACCAGTCACTTTACTAAGAGTGACCTGTCACTGCACTAAGAGTGACCTCTTTACTTACCATACCAATTAGAACTTTCTATCGGCATCGGCTCGGCCTTTACCCAGCAGCATTTGAAGCAGCCTACAAAGTCTAGGCATTTCCAGCACACTTCTTTCATTGTAGCAGTATTGGTGGGAATTTTCTGTTTTTATTTCCATAGGAGAGTGTAGGCTTTTGGCTAAGGGGGTGCCCTTGAAGGCACAAGTACTTAGGGACCACAAGCATAGGAGGATTCCTAGTATTTTTGTAGTTAAACCCCTGTCTACCCATAGCTTGTTGGTTATTTAGCCAGTTACTGCAGAATATACCAGGCAATATATTTGCAGTCTGCACCTCCTAGTTACTATACTGCAGATACTCCTGCCTGCATATACCATAACACTAGGATTTCCAGTGTTTTGGTAGTTAACCACTCTCTACCCATAGCTTGTGGGTTATGAAGCCAGTTCCTGCAGAATCTACCAGGCAACATCTTTCAGTTTGTACCTCCTAGATACTATACTGCAGGTACTCCCGCCTGCACATACCATAACACTAGGATTTCCAGTGTTTTTGTAGTTTTACTGCAGAATATACCAGGCAACATCTTTGCAGTCTGCACCTCCTAGTTACTGTACTGCAGATACTCCTGCCTGCACATACCATAACACTAGGATTTCCAGTGTTTGTAGTTAACCCCTCTCTTCCCATAGCCTGTTGGTCATTAAGCCAGTTCCTGCAGAATCTACCAGGCAACATTTTGCAGTTTGTACCTCCTAGTTACCATACTGCAGATACTCCCGCCAGCACATACCTCTAGATGCTTTTTCTCACGGTCTTTAACACAGAACCCTGTCATAATTTCTGAGATGCTCTTTTCTGCAGTAAACTGGCACTCTCAAGCTTGTTTTGGAGTCCAGACATTGCAGTTTCGGTAAACATTATCAGCTTTGTTAACAGCTTCAGTGCAGCTCACTGGGACTTGGCTATTTTTCCTTGAGCCTGGGTACTGGTATATCGATACATTATTGATACTACTAATTTGTAGCTGTTGTTCCCACAGTGGTATTTCACTCTGTTAACAGGCAGTGTTACTGTATCACTTGAGGATTTCTTACAACAGTTATTTGAACTAAACTTTGTTTGTATACCCCCCCTTTTAACTATTTACATTAAAAGTGAAGTTTTAATTCTCTTTCCTCTTTTGTGATCTCCCCAAGCCCAACCTGTCCTAAGGTCACCCCTCTATAACGAGGCAACTACCACTCTGCAGGACACTCTTCCATTTATCCTGTCCCTTCTCCTGTCTCCTTTCCTTATTGTTTTATTTTATAGATTAACAGTTCCGCATGTTTACTCCCTCCTTTTATCCTTACAGGTTCCAGTATTAAGCATGTCTGTAAACTGTGCTTGATTATTAGCATTTATTTATATAGCTCCAACAGTCTATAGTGAACTTAATACTTATTTTACTACTTAATGGTTATTTCAAACTAACAGAGTTACTTACTAAAGTGAGAATTGCTAAAATACCAAACTGAAAACAGAGTTGACTTGGAGAAATTGTCTAATTTAGGTTTATTGGCTTAAATTATGAAATTCTGTTTGAATTCTCAATAATTCCCATTTTCGTGAATAACCCTGTAAATATGACTGGTGTAGAAAAGAAAATCTAGTAGAGAGTAATTTGCATATCAATATTGCAAACCAGTAACCAACCTCATGCTGAAGAGTTGCATTAACAACGAAACAGCTTTCCATGAGTGGTTCGCTGGTTTTGCATCTTTTCCTAAATTGTGTTCCAAGCAGTTGTATACTGCAAACACAGATTAAAAGGAATCCATGTTTAAAATGGAATGAGGCAAAAATGTGATTCTTTGTTAAACTAATTTGCATATGCCCACCACGAATCCTTTGCGGTTGTAACATCACTGCAGATTTGGGATTTCTGTGGGAAAAGCAAGTCTTATGGTTTGACTGGTGTGCAGATTTTTGTTTAACATTGTATTAGCTATCCACAGACTTCAGGTGGAATGGGTTTTCAATCACAATTTTTCGCCATCATAACCTATTTGGATTTTGCTTATAAACAGCACAAATTTATAAGTGTGACATTTAAATTAGAAGTAATTAAAATAAATCAGAAAATGTGTGATTAAGGTATATTTTTGTGTACATAAATTGTGTTGGCAAAAATGGCTGTAGTAATTTTCATGCTAGCAGTGCTCTGGCATAACACCATGGTAAGTTGTCAAACTGTTTTAACATGGCTTTACAATTTACCTGCGCCCCTCCAGTTCCGTGCTTTCGATCTGCTGCATCTGGTATTCTTGAGCTGATGGAAGACTGCCCTCATTAGCCGAGAACTCTAAGCAAATGATTGCAGTCCTTCTTTGCTCTGAGCAGTTAACAATTTGCTTATCTTCATGGAAAATAACAAGTAAAGCACAGGAGCCTTGCGGACACCAGGTAAGTGTCAAACTATACAAAAATAGTTTGACTTCTTTCCATGGGACTGCACCAGGGCATTTCTGGCACCATAAACACTACATTAAGATGTAGTGGTTGCAATGGTTGGGATATTCCTGTTTTCAGTTTAAGTCTAAATCTCTAGACTAGTATTTAAAATATTGTCACATTCAAATACTCTATTGTGTATGCTGCTAATTAGGAGACTATCAAGCATTAGTGCTGTATGCTAGATGCTGATTACACAATCCGCTCAAACTGGTTATCAACATAATTTGTTTAACCTACTTATTTGAAATAGTAAAATGATTGTGTAGCTGTAGTGTCATACTATAAACTTAAATTATATAGTTATAAACAACATATTTACACATTTTTAAAACTACATATAGAATATATAATATACTTTTCATATTTTACCCCGCTATAAAAACATTATTTCTCTAATTGCAGGATAAACCTGAGACATGGGAGAGTCAGTGGAGGTGCTTCAAGGTGCTTCTTTTCAACCATTTTTGCATCCAGCTTCCTCTGATATGTGGAACATACTATTTTACAGAATTCTTCAATATTCCCTATGACTGGGACACCATGCCTCGTTGGTAAGTAGTAAAATATTTTGTTTTCAAATCTCTACCAATACCAAATATGTATAATTTTTTCAGTTTAGGTATGATTTACAGCCAATCCTTAAAGAGAATACATAAAGTCCAAAGTACTCTCAATTTATCAGGAGAGAGAAAGTAGTCTGATATGTGTCTTTAACCCCACAAAGACCAAAAAACTTTTTTTTCCATCTTGGCAGTCCATTCCCTGGAGACTTTATACAGTTTGTTTATACAGAATGTCCTGCTGATTTAGTACTGATGACGCTATACATCCTTCTTTTGACATGTGGGGCATTCCATTTTGGAATAGGACATTTCAGACCGTATTGTTATGACTGTGGTTATTACTTTTTAACTATCTCAATCCTCTTTGTTTAGGTACATGCTCGGTGCGCAATGCTTTGGTTGTGCAGTTATTGAAGATACGTGGCACTATTTCCTTCATCGAATCTTGCACCACAAGAGGATCTACAAATACATCCACAAAGTACACCACGAGTTCACGGTACATAAAAACACGTGTGATTACTGCAAACAGCAGATAGCAGCAATAGTGTTAGCAATGTTCGTTATGTGTCCTCATTTTCTGACTTAAATCTCCTTTCTATTGTTGGAGTACTACTAGATATGTGCTTTCCTGTAGTAATATCCCAATTACATTATATTACCATTGTAATTTCATCTCAATGGAAACATCTTTCATTAATGGTTTAGATATTTTACGAAGGTTCTCTCTGCCCCTTGAGGCTGTCTCACTGAAGCCTCGGACATTGCTGGAAACCAGACGGCTGAGTGTATAGTCAAAGTTTTTACAACTCTGGGGTTAAACCAATCATAAAGCGCTTAACCCCTTAAACTAAGATGACACTATAAGTGCATCATTGGGTTGAAGTTGCTATGGTGCCCAAAGTGCTCCATTAAGCTTCCTTTTAAATCTTTATAAATAAAATAAATTTTTATCTAAATGGTACAGTATATGATTATTCTGCATGCACTTTTCCTTAAAGGGTTATTCCAAGCACATTGATGACTTCACTGAATTGAAGTAGTCATGGTGTCTAGATTCTGTTTGTGCAGTGTTTTGTTACGAAACAACTCGTCATTAGCCAGCTTGGAACAAGAATTCCTGATGGCTAATATGAATCCTGTGCTATTTTGGCATCTGACACCAGCACACACAGAATGCTGGTGCCAGACAGCCAATGGCAGCACTCCCCCTTAATGCCATCCATGTTCCATGACCTTCCCCCAGTCTGACCACCCACCCTCTCCAGTGAGGTGGAGTGATATCAGCAGAACATCAGTGCTGGAGCACAAGTTTGTTTTTAAGTTTTATCTTTCTTCTTTTTTGGGGGAGGGACAGCAGTGTTAGAGTAGGGTTACTCTAACCGAAACTAGTCTTTTATGAAAAAACTGTTTTTGTTTGTTTATTTAATAACTCATTAAAAGGTTAATTAGTTTTAGCAATGCATTGTGAGAATGAAACACTAAAATAGTGAAGATAAAAAAATACCCAGTTCAGCTCTATTTCCAACCTGGTTATTTTAGGCATAATGTTGACAAATCTCATTTGATCAATTCACATTAAATTAGTTTGATGAATTTACCATTTGAATAGATTTACTTATTCACGAATCCAGGATTGTTTTGGAGAGTTAGCCAAGACAGATACACATTTTCAAAGAAATACTTTGTAAAACCTGGCTGTTTGTTAAAATGATCAGTTCCTGACAATTTTAATTTTGTGAATAATCTTCTGTGGAGGAATTACATTTAAGGTTTGTTTACACAAGCGTACATTTTGGTGAATTTAATAAGCCGTTTTGGGCAAAACAGTTATGTTGGTAAGAAAAATGGCTGGATAAGATGATGCACACACAATGAAGAATGTTATAAAAGAGGTGGGAAAGGAAGACTAGGAGATTGAGTCAGATGGGGCTTTAGTGACTAAGATAAACATACACAGATGAGCACTACAGAGAAAGAATAGGGTAGCAATAATGTGGAACCAGAGGTAAGACTGTACATCTGCATTTCACTTCAAAGCAGCTAACAGTGGTAGGTGAGTTTCTATAAAAAGAAAGTGCTTTAATTGAAGATATATCTAAGGAATAATTAAGGAGTTTTATCAAAGTGGTCTGTTCTCTAAAGTGGTCTAAGGTACTAAAAGTGGGACAGTCTGCATGGAAATTAGTGGAACCATTAGTGACTCCTGCCATTTTACAGTTTTACACCACTTTTTAGAATGGAGTATTTTGATGAATCTCCTCACGTGTTCTGAGTGTAAAGTATAAGTACCAGTAACACCTGAAACAAGTTAAGTCTTAATGTATTTTCTGTGTTTCTTTCAGTCTCCTTTTGGAATGCAAGCAGAGTATGCACATCCCCTGGAAACACTGATACTTGGTACAGGGTTCTTTATTGGGATCATGGTGTTCTGCAATCACGTCATTCTGCTGTGGGCATGGGTGATGTTCAGATTGATGGAAACAATAGATGTTCACAGGTAAGGTTCCAAGAGCCAGCACAATTCAAACACAGCCTTGGCCAATCACCATCTCCTCATTGAGATGAATTGAATCAGTGAATCTATATGAGGAAAGTTCAGTGTCTGCATGCAGAGGGAGGAGATACTGAATGTTTGGATGCATTTTAGGCAGCCATGAACCAGGAAGGATCTCTAACTGCTATCTGAGGAGTGGCCAGTGAAGTTATCACTAGGCTGTAATGTAAACACTGCATTTTCTCTGAAAAGACAGTGTTTACAGCAAAAAGCCTGAAGGTAATGATTCTACTAACCAATAAACTGTAGTTGTTCTGGTGACTATAGTGTCCCTTTAAGGTCAAAATAGCTGAACTGCAAAAATGACCAACGTCAACTATGCTTCCAGTTCAGCTACGTTGGTCTCAAATTTAAAATCCGCTTTGAATTAACTTAAAATTTTCACTTTAATGAATAACCATGTATTATTTTTATATCTGCTAAGTAGGGATAATTTGTATGCTCTTTAGATGAAGAGAGAACTTTTGTAACACTTAATTTTATTGCATTTGCAAATATAGGCAGAATGCATCATCTGTTTCTAGGGTGCGATGTAGCACTGTTCGCTATTTATTAATAAAAAATCAGATCAATGTCTTCAGAATTTTTGGAAATCATAAATTCTTCATAAGTGCTAATGTGTTCTTATAAACATATGCTGTAGATAGGTGCGTTGAAAAGAAGTAACCATATATTCTTTATTTCAATATTAAATATATATTTTGTGTGTTCTTTTTGTAGTGGATATGACATCCCTCTGAATCCCCTACACCTGGTTCCCTTCTACGCAGGAGTACGCTTTCATGATTTTCATCACATGAACTTTGTTGGTAACTACGCCTCAACTTTTACATGGTGGGACAAGCTCTTCAACACAGATTCCCAGTACAATGCCTACCATAACAAACTCAAATCACAAGAAAGAAAGAAAACTAAATAAATGTAATTTCACAGATAGACCTAAATTTTTCACCATACGGATTGCAAAGTATTTTTAACAAATCCTGAACGCTATAACAAATGGAGGCAAAGTTCTTTTTGTAAAAACAAAAGACTTGTATAGCTTGCCTGTGGATAGAAATCCCCCATAACTGTGGAAATCCTTCACAAATCCTTATTGCCTCATTACCTTAATAAGAACTCTGTTTAAAGAGAACTGTTAATGAAACAATTGCTGCTTTACAATAACAATATGGCACCCAGGTGGATCAAAGGAGGCAAACATCAAGCAAACTTCGTCTATGTGATGAAGAACATGTTTCATGCATTCCCAAATGTTTGGTTGTTTTATTTTTTTACATAGTACATATTTTAATTATTTAATAGTTTTGATTGAAATGTATTGTGCCTCCAAATTTAGTTACAAATATGTTAAGTGTGGCAATCAAGACATGTAACTGCAGTATCCCACATTAGGTTTGATCTTTTTTTTTTCGCACTTTGAAATTAAACAAAACAAATTTTTTTTTAAACAAAATCGGTTCTTTCAGACCGGCAGAGACGAAAAAATTATTTTTAGGAATCCAGATTTGTGAGTGGAATTTGGAAGGGGTTTACCCTGTTGATTAGTATCTTCTACAAAACTAAAATTGGTGACTTAACATGTTTTTATTTGATGCAATGTATTGCCCATCACTTACGTTAGGACATTGCAAAGCACCATTGTTTATATTTGTTTTTCTTTCTTTTTTTCCAGTTTTAAATGTTCAAATAAATGTAATTTTAACAAATTCCTTTTTTCTGGATCTTGTTTGCATTTATCCTGTTTTAGCTGAAGTGGTCTTCACTTACTTTGTTTTGGTGGTGTGTATATATTTGGATACCATAGATGTGAGTGTGAGATTTTTAAAAGCAAGAAAGAGTTTGTTAAAATCTGTTAAATATTAATTAGAATCGTTAAAGGGACAGTCCACTGCCCAAATAATAAAATAAAAAAATTAAAACACTATTCAGTAGATATACCTCCAATGAAAATATGGATTATTTTAATAATGCATTATTAAACGCGTTACTATGCCACATACATTCTTAGTGTATTTTTATATATATATATAACTCACCTGAACATGCATTAATGGGGGTGCTGTTCGGGGCCAATTTATACAATACACAAGATCCAGTGCACTCACCTATTCACTAAACAGCACCTTTAATGTTGACAGATTTTATTTGTTTTTTTAAAAACATTTAATCTAGGCATAATTATTTTTGCCCAGACACCTAATCTAGGCATAATTATTTTTGCCTAGATTTGGTGTTTTAAAAAAACAAAACAAATAAAATCTGTCAACATTAAAGTTGCTGTTTAGTGGATAGATGAGTGTGCTGGATCTTGTGTAATATATATATATATATTATTATCACAATACACTTAGAATGTTATTATAATATACATGTATATAAAATAAAAAAATCTGTGTGACCCCCAAGTTGGGGGAGTAGCTTAAACAGATTACAGGTGTAACATATGAGATCGTTGTTCAGAACAGTGCAGTTCTGGGAACAACTACGATACTGTGCAAAATCCTCAGACACACAGGCCTCTGGTCAGTGGTGGAACTTACGCAGATGCAGCCAGTGCGGCTGCACTCGGGCCTGCAAGCATTGAAGGCCCATCTGGTGGCCCAATGTACTTAGGACCACCCAATGGATATTATTTCTTTATTGCTGAATAGGGGGCTGGCCAGGCTCAGCGGCCCTTTATGAGCATGACTGTGTCCCTGTTATATCGGCTGTCACTTCCTCCCAACTTCAAACAGACAGAATGCCCAGGGCCAGCACGTCCATAAGGCGGCACAGGCAGCCGCCTTAGGGCACACCGACCTGGGGGGCACTAGATTAGAGTGATCGGCAGGAGGAAAGCGCACATTACTCCCTCCTGCCAGTCACTCAGTGTAGCGTGGCCGAGAAGAGCGGACTGCGGTACAGGAGCTTTAGTTTCCTGTACTCAGCCGGACTGAGTGAACACTTCCCGTCAGTCCGGCCGAGTACAGGAAACTAAAGCTCTTGTACCGCGGTCCGCACTGCTCTGCTACACTACAAGAGGTAGGAGGGAGCAGTGCTTGATGTCTATCCCTGTTCTCTATTGCAGCCCACTCACGGGAGTCAACACTCGGCAGCTTCATGTGCACACACTGTAAGTGTAGGCTTAGTGCAGGCTTTTAAAAAAAAAATTTTTTTTTATTTTATTAGTTAGTAAACAAAGTACCCAGTTCAGGTAATCCTGCATGGGTACCTGTGGGGAAGGGGAGCAAGTTGAAAAATCCAGGGGTGGGGGAAAGTGCCCCATCTTGCCCCCCACCCTCCGGACACCCATGCTAGATACTGAGTCATTCTGCAGACACTTTGCAGGCCACAGGATTCTGGCTTGTGCAGTTTGTGTGTCCATATCACACGTCAAACGTATGCCCTATGAATGTATGTCAGTGGTGGAGTATTGCAAGGAGAAGTCTTTCGAGGGTGTGAGGGAGTTAAGACTAGGAAACATGGAGGAAAGTGGTGCTGATCAGTCAATGATCAACCTGTGTCTATGTGAAGATTTACCAGTGACTACACCAATAGGATTTGTCCTCCAAGAAGTAAAAGGAGGGGACATAAAAGGCTCTGTTCCAACTCAGTCTTGATTAGTTAATCAACCAACTCTGGATCTGCCAGTGCCGTCTGCAAATTATTGTGTATGAAACCCTGTGAAAAAACCTGTGTGAAACCCCTGTGACAATTCATCAGTGAGAAATTTAACCAAATGTTGGGAGGGGTGGTATCGTAATACATCAGCAAAATACCCAACATTTATGCAAGTGAGGTAAGGTTTAGGAAACATTTTATTAGGGTACATAGATTTGGCGTGAGCCCGGATACAATAAGAGCACACGTGCAACAACCTGCAAGAACTGAACCAACAAGTCCCAGCATTAAAATTATTACAAATTTGGGACTTGCCTAGAAAGACAATGTCCCTACCCAGCTTATTCTTGATAACTTTATCTGATTTTGTCGTAGTGTAAGGGACCGAGTGGCCCTGTGCAACTTCTGCCGTCCCATGTGAGAGCAGGGAGAGGCTACAGGGAGAGCCTGGGGCAGAGGGAAGAACAGGGAGAGCCTAGGGCAAAGGGAATAGCATGGAGAGCCTGGGGCAGAGGGAATAGCAGGGAGAGCCTATGGCAGAGGGGAGAGCCTGGGGCACAGGAAAAGCAGGGAGGGCACGAGGCAGAGGGGAGAATAGGGAGAGCCTGGGGCAGAGGGGAGAATAGGGAGAGCCTGGGACAGAGGGGAGAATAGGGAGAGCCTGGGACAGAGGGGAGAACAGGGAGAGCCTGGGACAGAGGGGAGAACAGGGAGAGCCTGGGGCAGAGGAAAGAGAGTATGGGGCAGAGGAGAAGCAGGGAGGGCCTGAGGCAGAGGGGAGAGCTTGAGGCAGAGAGAATAGCATGGAGAGCCTGGAGCAGAGGGAATAGCAGGGAGAGCCTGGGGCAGAGGGAATAGCAGGGAGAACCTGGAGCACAGAAAAATGTATATTTTTGAAATAACAGCAACTGAGTTCATTATAAACATTTTGTTAATATGAGGGGTACAATTTATGGAAATGGTCTGCCAAGGGGGTACTCAAATGAAAAAAGGTTGGGAACCACTGGTGTAGAGGATTTGGAGTGTATATAGGGATCTAGTGTGGGTATGTATGTGTGTGTGTGTGTAAATTATCCAGAGTTGGGTAAGGGATCTAGTGTGTGTCTGGAATGTAATGTGTGTTGGGTGGCAATGTGTGTGTGTGAGAGGGGTGCTGTAGTATATATATGTTTGGAAGTATTGTGTGTATGTGTGAGGGGTGCAGCGTGTGTGTGTGAGGTGTGCTCTGTGTGAGAGGGGTGATGTGTGTGATAAAAAAATATTTTATCCCCCCTCCCTTCTTACCTTTTGCCTGGGAGGGGAGACCGTAGGCACACTGCAGGGCCGGCACTCGGATTTGCGCGGTATGCCCAATGGCCAGTATGGGCCTGTATGGATCCTAAGGAAAGTTCTGACAAAGGACTGAAACGTTGATCTATTTTAATGCATATCAAATAAAATTTTGTATTTTAATTGAAGACCGAACGTGCAGCTTCCTCCCTTCTTCGTTTGGATACTCAAGGCTCAGGCTGGCACCTGGCATTTGTTGGTTCACTTTATGCCTGTGTGCAAGGACTTCTAGCTTTATATATATATATATATATATATATCTTTGTGTTTGGCACATTTAGAGGACGTATGAAATAATAAGAAAGAGCAAAGTCAGTTGAGGTGTGCCGAAACTGACGTGAGGTTAGACCTGTAAAAGAGGGCCCACCTAGGTGAAGTCAGAATAAATAGAGGGTGCTGTGGGAGGGGCACTTCCGAGATCGTAGCCGACAGGTAAGCAGGGGCATACTGGGTTTAAACAGGGTACATAGTGCCTCCCACAATTACAGGCCAAGCCTTCTATTTGTGTTTGGCACATTTAGAGGACGTATGAAATAATAAGAAAGATGCAAAATGTAGTAAGAGCAAAGTCAGTTGAGGTGTGCCGAAACTGATGTGAGGTTAGACATGTAAAAGAGGGCAAAAATATAAGAAGCAATTCTTTATAGTCAGATACATTTATTTAAGCATAACATTACTTAGACATTTCATGGAAAGCCAATCTTATTTCTTTCTCAGGATTGGGGATGTATCTGTTGTATGCGAATGATTTCCAGCGACCCATATTTTTAATGATATGTGTTGGTAAGTGATTTCCGGAGGCAGATGTGGCTACTCCAATACGGAATGAATGGCCCGAGAATGAATGTGGGTTATGTCCTAGCCGGAGTAATAACGTACGAATGTAAAGTACGATTTGTTTGGTGGTTAGGGGTTTTCCTTGAATGGCCAACAATGGGGAGTCAGGGTTGGAAGTGAGATGGGATTCCACTAGTTTTTCCAAAACGT